AACTATGGTAAATAATTGCCCAACATCCAGTTATCTCATTGTGACAAAGACTATCTGGGTTCTTGAACCGGACGCACTCGGGCGGGCATAGCGAACACGTGTGTGTCGGCGACCAGGTCCGTGAAACTAGCATCTGTGGCCCGGGAGGTCTATCATGACTCTCTTTGTTTCATTGCTGCGGTTGCCGCTTTTCTCTGATGTAGGGACCATATCTTACCTGCACGTGAATCCAATGGGCTTGTTTTGAGAAATAGCTGCCGTGCTCTGAACTAGACTTGAAATTTAAGTTTAAAAAAATTGTTTTCCACGACTGCGTCTATTATTTTAAGGACGTAATCTCGCTGTGACTGTTTATTAGAACATGGCTGCTATATTTTTTTTATTTCAGCCGACACATCCGACTTCTTCAAGCATTTTTGCCCGCGTTAGCTTGTCCAGTCATATGTTTTTTTTTTCTTTTTTTTTCTGTTCATTAAAACCAGTTCCCTTGTGATCTTCTACCATGACCGTCTTGTGCCTGTCAGACGCATGGTGTGGTTTCGGTGAAGTGTTGTCGCTATCAGGTTAAAAGCAGACAAGCTTTGAATGTTGACTATGTGTCACCCCCTCTCCCCCACCCCGAATGCCGATTGGTCTTTGAAAAGTATGCCCAGCCCTATGAACCCAATACGCCTAAAGTGGTAGGAAAAGGGTCCTTTACTGTTTACCTAATAATCCGTCTCTGTGTGGATTCGAACCCAAGACCTTGGGGCCGGCAAGCCAGCATCTGACCAACACACTTCCCCGTCTATCATCAGTAATTCACTTATGATCTAGCTAGAGGTTTATTTCTGCGTCTCTCTTTCTCTCTCTCTCTCTCTCTCTCTCTCTGTCTCTCTCTGTCTCTCTCTGTATCTGTGTCTCTGTGTCTGGCTGCGTGTGTGTATGTGTGTATTTACCTGTGTGTGTGTCTGTGTGTGTGTATGTCTGTGTGTGTATGTGTATGCATGCATGCCTGTATATATGTATGTGTATGTGCGTAGATGTGTGTGCAATGTGTGTGTGTGTATTATGTATGTGTGTATATGTATGCAGGTGGGCATGTGTATGTGCGCGCGTGAGTGTGTGCATGCATTTTATCACCCATGCTTTTGTATTTTTGTTTTGTTTTGGAGTTTCATAATATGCATATTAATTATATAAACATAACATGCAACATGCTTTATTGATAAAATACAACTGCTTTGCGAAAGGTGGGTGTTTAGAAGGGCCGAATATAAGACGGGCCTGCGTGCCCAATTTGTAACCCTTTGAAAATAAAGTTTATTCATTCGTTCGTTCACCTATAATCGAACTAGAAGTCCATCAGTAATTCACTTATAATAGGTTGGCTGTAATTTTATCAATAATTCACATATGATGTAGCCAAAAGTTTATCAGTAATTCACTTATAATAGGCTGGCTGTAATTGTATTAATAATTCACTTATGGTGTAGTCGGAGGTAAATCAGTAATTCACGGATGGTCTAATTAAAAGTTTATCAGTAATTCACATATTGTGTAGTCAGAAGTTTATCAGTAATTCATTTATAATCCAGCTAGAAGTTTGTCAGTAATTTACTTATAGTCTAGCTAGAATTGTATCAACAATTCACTTATGGTTAACCGGAAGCTTATCAGTAATTCACTTATGTCTAGCCAAGATTTTGTCAATAATTCACTTATGGTGTAGCCAGACATTCATCAGTAATTCACTTTTAATCTAGCTCGAAGTTAATCAGCAAATCACTGAAGTAAAAGCCAAAAGTCTTTTAATAATTCACTTATGGTGTAGCCAGACATTCATCAGTAATTCACTTTTAATCTAGCTCGAAGTTTATCAGTAAATCACTGAAGTAAAAGCCAAAAGTCTTTCAATAATTCACTTATGGTGTAGCCAGACATTCATCAGTAATTCACTTTTAATCTAGCTCGAAGTTTATCAGTAAAACAACTGAAGTAAACGCCAGAAGTCTTTCAATAATTCACTTATGTTGTAGCTTGAAATTTGTGAATAATTTACTTACGATCTGGCTAGAATTATATCAGTAATTCCTTGTGATCTGGCTAGAATTGTATCAGTAATTCCTTGTGATCTGGCTAGAATTGTATCAGTAATTCCTTGTGATCTGGCTAGAATTGTATCAGTAATTCCTTGTGATCTGGCTAGAATTGTATCAGTAATTCCTTGTGATCTGGCTAGAATTGTATCAGTAATTCCTTGTGATCTGGTTAGAATTATATCAGTAATTCCCTGTGATCTGGCTAGAATTGTATCAGTAATTCCTTGTGATCTGGCTAGAATTATATCAGTAATTCCTTGTGATCTGGCTAGAATTATATCAGTAATTCCTTGTGATCTAGCTAGAATTGTATCAGTAATTCCTTGTGATCTAGCTATAATTTTATCAGTAATTCCTTGTAATCTGGCTAGAATTTTATAAGTAATTCCTTGTAATCTGGCTAGAATTGTATCAGTAATTCCTTGGGATCTGGCTAGAATTTTATAAGTAATTCCTTGTGATCTATCTAGAATTTTATCAGTAATTTCTTGTGATCTGGCTAGAATTGTATCAGTAATTCACTTATGATCTGGCTAGAATTAAATCAGTAGTTTTTTGTGATCTGGCTAGAATTATATCAGTAATTCCTTGTGATCTGGCTAGAATTATATCAGTAATTCCTTGTGATCTACCTAGAATTATATGAGTAATTCCTTGTGATCTGGCTAGAATTTTTTCAGTAATTTACTTTTGATCTGGCTAGAATTAAATATATTTGATCTGGCTAGAATTATATATATATATATTGTAACCCTTTGAAAATAAAGTTCGTTCGTTCGCTCGTTCAGTAATTCCTTGTGATCTGGCTAGAATTTCATCAGTAATTCCTTGTGATCTGGCTAGAATTTCATCATTAATTTCTTGTGTTCTGGCTAGAATTTTATCAGTAATTCCTTGTGATCTGGCTAGAATGTTATCAGTAATTCGTTGTGATCTGGCTAGAATTTTATCAGTAATTATATGGTGATATGGCTAGAATTGTATCATTAGTTATAAGTAGAGCATATCCCAGCAGTTGTGATTCAGAATACAAGATGTAGACGTTTATTACTTTTATGCTAACTGAAGTGTGATGTAGATGTTAATTACTTTTATGCTAACTGATATGTGATGTAGATGTTTATTACTTTTATGCTAACTGAAATGTGATGTAGATGTTAATTACTTTTATGCTAACTGATATGTGATGTAGACGTTTATTACTTTTATGCTAACTGATATGTGATGTAGATGTTTATTACTTTTATGCTAACTGAAATGTGATGTAGATGTTAATTACCTTTATGCTAACTGATATGTGATGTAGACGTTTATTACTTTTATGCTAACTGATATGTGATGTAGATGTTTATTACTTTTATGCTAACTGAAATGTGATGTAGATGTTAATTACTTTTATGCTAACTGAAATGTGATGTAGATGTTAATTACTTTTATGCTAACTGGTATGTGATGTAGATGTTTATTACTTTTATGCTAACTGATATGTGATGTAGATGTTTATTACTTTTATGCTAACTGATATGTGATGTAGATGTTTATTACTTTTATGCTAACTGATATGTGATGTAGATGTTTATTACTTTCCTGCTAACTGATATGTGATGTAGATGTTTATTACTTTTATGCTAACTGAAATGTGATGTAGATGTTAATTACTTTTATGCTAACTGAAATGTGATGTAGATGTTAATTACTTTTATGCTAACTGGTATGTGATGTAGATGTTTATTACTTTTATGCTAACTGATATGTGATGTAGATGTTTATTACTTTTATGCTAACTGATATGTGAATGAAATAATATAAAGAACTACGCTAAAAGGACAGTATGTCAGACAGGCCTGCGTACAAAACAATTAACCTTTTGAAAATAATGCTCGTTCGTTTGTTCGTTCCTTGGTTCAGTAATTCACATATGCAATGTGCTCTGCTAGGGTATGTTCTTTCACGCCACAATGCTATATGACGAACATTTAGTTGCTACGACACAATAGGGACGAATGTTCAGTTGTATACTTACCTTTATTCGCTGAATCACGACATATCGCAGGCACGCATTCTGTCGTCCTCGTGTCCGTTCTGCTTGGCTGATTTCTGACGGCCTGGTCAATCCTCTCACACACTGTTTTGATCCATCAGCGTCTTTCGAATCACACATCTATCCTATAGCAAAGCCTTGTACCTGGTATTAGGGCATATAGGAAACATTCATATCTTCTCTCGGAACATTACAGGTATTCACCGTTCCTCCATTCTCTTCAGGCGTTCACTCATTCGACCTCTCGCAACCAGGTCCGAACTTTAACTATCTTACCCCCAACTCTCGGTTCACGTCTTCCGTTCCAGTCCCATGCTTTTCTTGTATCCCTTATTTAACTCACCACGGGATACTCGAGACCCACTTATCTCGTTTTTCTCTTGTATCACTGGTCCTCTGACCTTGTTCTCCCCATCGGGAACTCCCCGAGAATTCACAACATTACAACATTGGTTGAGCCGGAATTATCTATGTAATTTATATATGGTTGAGCCGGAATTCGGTCAGTAATTTATAAATAGGTGAGCTGGAATTATATCAGTAATTCACATATAGTTCAGCTGGAATTCTGTAAGTAATTCACTTATAATCCAACAAATAGACTTATCCGCTTTACGTGATCTATTCTCCCCAGCCCCCTGGCTCACAGATCCACATCCGTGACGTTTTCTACAAACAGCCACCAGGTCATCGTTGCGGACAAATCCGGAGACGCCTATGTCTTCGACGTCCAGCAACAGCACCTGGACTACCTGTCAAAGACTGCAGCAGCTGACACCACAGAGGATCAGCCTGTCAGTGGCGGCACCAACACGGAATTGGAAGGGCGCCATGGAGGTGACGGTGTGGGAGGTTCGCTTCTCCTGGGCCATCATTCCATGTTGTTGGATGTGGTGAGTTATTTGTTCCACACTTCATCTCTCTTCCTCTGTTGTTGCTTTCCATCGACAGGTTTTAAAGAAGCATCGGGAACGAACTTTGATGTGTGCAAACATAGTTACTGGTCTTCACGACCTGGCATATGACATATGTCCATTTTTTAGCAAGATATTGTCAACGGGAGTCGCCGTGCGCATAGCGGCTAGACGCTTGCCTGCGGATCGGAAGATCATGGGTTCGCTCCCTGGCGGAGCTGGCATTTTTATTCTTCAAAAAATAACCTTGGCTCCTAGGTCGACCTAGCCTTAAGTGGGTACCGGGTGCAGTCCCGGGAAGTAAATGCGGACGGCATGATGCTTACCACATCACCCATTTTGTGCCGATTGGTCTGTAAAAATATGTCTATATGTGCCCTATACGCTTGAAGGCGTTAAAAATGTTCCTTTACTTTTGTTTCTTGTACTTTTACTATTAACTGTCGGCGTCTGTGGCTTAGGCGTTGCGAACGCGCCTTGTAATGCTAGCGTACCGGGTTCGATCCTAGCTGCGGGCCTTGCGCCTTGTGTAGGTTTCGACAGTGGTATCGAGAAGCTGACCTTCCAGAAAACAATGGCAAACTACTGAACGTAAATTTGCCTAGAAAAACCACAACAGCAAAAAATTCTGTAAAGGATAGGCAGCTATTGTTTTTATTGTCAAATGGCGACGACCGTGGCTCAGATGTTGCGAATCCGACTCGTAATTCCAACGTACCGCGATCGAAACCCACTGCTGGCTGCGTGGATTTGTATCATGGAATGGGGCGTCACAGGTCGACCCAGCTTAAAATGGGTACCCAGATGCATATCATGTGGAAGTAAAGACGGGCGGCCTAATGCTGAGCACATTTCTCACCTATGGTCTGTAAAAATATGGACGCCTTTCCTATATACCCGATACGCCTAAAAGGCGTGAATAAGGGATCTTAATTTTTTTTAAACTGTTATTGTCAACTGCTAGCTTGCTGGGCCTGTCACATTTAGGGAGCATTCAACCCAGTGGAGTCCAAACCCATAAGCCCGACGAAGTGATGTGTGTAGTTTAAAGGATGTGTAAATGTAAGAGGGTCGATCGACTTCTTTGCATCAGGCGCTGTCCCACAGGTGTCTGTCTCGATTGAGTGGATGTTCGCATTCGGAGTGCGTCGCATATGGTACGAAATTCTGCCTCTCAAGTGAGGACCATCAGAGATCTCTGAAACGTTTGCAGCCGAATGGGTCTTTTTTTTCCCTTCTTCTTCTTCTTCTTCTTCTTCTTCTTCTTCTTCTTCTTCTTCTTCTTCTTCTTCTTCTTCTTCTTCTTCTTCTTCTTCTTCTTCTTCTTCTTCTTCTTCTTCTTCTTCTTCTTCTTCTTCTTCTTCTTCTTCTTCTTCTTCTTCTTCTTCTTCTGCTTCTTCTTCTGCTGCTGCTTCTTCTTTTTCTTCCAACACTTGCTGTGCCTATATTCTTATACGGGTAAAAGACAGGACATTGCGCTTGATGTCTTGACCAGTGCCAAATAAATGGATTATGTCTGATATAGAAGCCGCCATCTTCAGGCCCGGAATGAACAGCTTGACTGCATCTCCACATGCAGCTGTAACGAGTTAATGAATTTAATGTTAATATGATCTGCTTGGCGAAGGATGTTAAACTAATTGCCGTGTGTTCTGAAGGTTGTCAGTTCGATATGGGTTTCAGCGCTTCGGGTGGTCAGTACACATGTTTTATTGATCTCGTGATCGTCATCATTGTAAGTACAAAGGTTCTTACATTAAGCAGCAGTCTCGATGAGAGAACACACATACTGTGTAGGGGGAACTAAAACCTGAGGCAGTTCAGTTGTTAAAGTCTCGCTTTTAAACGCCGTTTTTGTGAAGTTGATATACCTGCTGTTTAGTAATCATGAATCTGTCAGAATTACCGTCTGTCTGTATGCATGTATGTATGTCTAATCTGTCTGTCTGTCTATCTGTCAAGTTTCCTGTATATTACCCTTTCATTTTCACATTTTGATGTTCGCAAGAATACACTCGCAGGTAGACGAACTCGTCGCCGGTAGGGACAGTATTTGGGTCTGTCTGCTTTGATCAATACTGCAGGAGTTCTTCTCAGGGCTCTTTGTGGCGAGCCGAGCTAAACCATTTTATATGGCGCACATTACCTAGTCACAGTTATAACCTAAAGCTCCCACTTCGCGGACGCTGGTTGAACGTGAGGATTTTTCTACCAGCAAAGCACCTAGCGGGGTATTCTCTGTGAAAGGAGAAGTAGGGTGCCTCATTCTGTTCTCTAGCCTACGCCTATGGAACACCCTAGAGCAAGGCGGAGTACCTGTTCAGCTCCCTCCGTTAGGATAACCTGAATCCATAGGCGCAGGTTGTGGATTTGGCTTCAGATCAGCCAACAGTTATAGTCCGCTACAAAAGTCGTGCTTAATTATATATATATATATATATATATATATATATATATATATATA